CTACACCTTCTTCTGGAGTGGTCGAGCCAGGGCAGAGCGACGAGACGCGGGTGTCGCCTTTGCCATCCGGACCGACATCGTGGGACGACTGCCCTGTCTACCGCAGGGAATCAACGATCGCCTGATGAGCCTTCGCCTGCCTCTCCGGCGAGGAGGCAAATTCGCCACCATCATCAGCGCCTATGCACCGCCGATGAGCAGCCCTGTCGCCTCCGCAAGAGACAAATTCTACGAGTACCTGCACGCCCTCTTGGCGACTGTGTCGAAGGCGGACAAGTTGATTGTCCTTGGCGACTTCAACGCCCGCGTCGGCACAGACCATACTGCCTGGAGAGGAGTGCTGGGCCCCCACGGTCTCCGCGGCTCCAACGACAACGGCCTGCTTCTCCTCCGCACCTGCGCAGAACACCGCCTCATCCCGACGAACACGTTCTTCTGTCTGACGGAGCGAGAGAAGGCCACCTGGAGGCATCCTCGGTCGCGTCAGTGGCACCTGCTGGACTATGTCCTCGTCCGGATGCGAGATCAGCGGGACATGCTGGTGACAAAGGCAATCGCGGGCGCTGACGGGTGGACCGACCATCGCCTCGTCATCTCGAAGATGCGTATTCGCCTACAGCCTCGCAGGAGACCACAAGGTAAGCGACCCCCAGGTAAGCTGAACGTTGCTTTGTTGTCTTTGCCTGCTCACCGTCTCCATTTCAGCAATGAGCTAGCTCAACGGCTAGACAACCTCCCCATCGCCGATGCCGCCGCTGCCGCGAACGCCTCCGTGGAGAACCGCTGGTGTCAACTTCGAGACACGGTTCAGTCGACGGCGCTTGCCGTCCTCGGTCGCGCTCCCCGCCAACACCAGGACTGGTTCGACGACAACGACGCCGCCATCAGAAATCTGCTTGCTGAGAAGAACCGCCTACACAAAGCCTACGTAGATCACCCCACTGAGGCCAACAAAGCTGCCTTCTACCGCAGTCGCCGCCAACTTCAGCAACGACTGCGCGAGATGCAGGACGCCTGGACTGCTCGCAAAGCTGAGGAGATCCAAGGCTATGCGGACCGCAACGAATGGAAGAACTTCTTCTCCGCGATCAAAGCTGTCTACGGTCCGCCGACGAAGGGCACTGCTCCTCTCCGCAGCGCCGACGGCTGCACTCTCCTGACTGAGAAGACGCAAATCCTGCAGCGATGGGCCGAGCACTTCCGAGGCGTCCTCAACCGCCCTTCCGTCATCTCCGACGCCGCCATCGCCCGCTTGTCGCAAGTGGAGACCAACGTGGACCTCGACCTCCCGCCATCCCTCCAGGAGACCATCAGGGCCGTGCAGCAGCTCTCCAGCGGGAAAGCACCCGGATCGGACGCAATCCCTGCTGAGGTCTACAAGCACGGAGGTCCCCTACTGATGGATCACCTGACTGCGCTCTTCCAAGAGATGTGGCGTCAAGGTGAAGTCCCGCATGATTTCAAAGACGCAACCATCGTGCATCTCTACAAGCGCAAACGGAATCGACAAGTCTGCGACAATCACCGCGGCATCTCCCTACTGAACATCGCCGGGAAGATCTTCGCTCGCATCCTGCTCAACCGCCTCAACAACCATCTGGAACAGGGCCTTCTGTCGGAAAGCCAATGCGGCTTCCGTCGTCATCGTGGGACCACGGATATGATGTTCGCCGCCCGTCAACTTCAGGAGAAGTGCCAGGAGATGCGGACCCACCTGTACTCTACCTTCGTGGACCTGACGAAAGCCTTCGACACGGTGAATCGTGAAGGACTGTGGAAGATCATGCAGAAATTCGGCTGTCCGGAGCGATTCACTCAGATGGTGCGTCAGCTGCACGACGGTATGATGGCGCGAGTCACGGACAACGGAGCTGTCTCAGAGGCATTCGCGGTGACCAACGGAGTGAAGCAGGGCTGTGTGCTGGCGCCTACCCTCTTCAGTATTATGTTCTCTGCCATGCTGATGGACGCCTACCGCGACGAACGCCCTGGAATCCGCATCGCCTACAGAACGGACGGTCATCTCCTGAATCACCGGCGCATGAACTTCCAATCGCGTGTATCCACAGCCACCGTGCACGAACTCCTCTTCGCCGACGACTGCGCCCTGAACACCACCTGCGAAGCGGAGATGCAACGCAGCATGGACCTGTTCTCCGCCGCCTGCGAGAACATCGGTCTGATCATTAACACGCAGAAGACGGTGGTGATGCACCAACCTCCGACCAACTCAGCCACAGCCCCCAACGCGCCGCCGCAAATCAGCGTGAATGGGACCCAACTGCAAGTGGTAGAGAACTTCCCATACCTGGGAAGTACCCTATCTCGCAACACAAAGATCGATGACGAAGTCGCCAACAGAATCTCGAAAGCCAGTCAAGCCTTCGGACGCCTCCGAAGCACAGTCTGGAATCGCCACGGTCTCCAACTGAGCACAAAGCTGAAGATGTACAAGGCCGTCATCCTGCCGACGTTACTGTACGGAGCACACCCATGGACGGTGTACACGAGGCAGGCACGTCGACTGAACCATTTCCACCTCAGTTGTCTTCGTCGCATCCTGAGGCTGAACTGGCAGGAACGAATCCCCGACACAGAAGTACTGGAACGAACGGGAATGCTCAGCATCTACGCCATGCTGAGACAAATTCAGCTGCGCTGGTGCGGCCACCTGGTGCGCATGGACGACGAGCGACTACCCAAACGACTCTTCTATGGAGACGTCGCGACGGGTTCTCGTCGTCAAGGAGGCCAAATTCGCCGTTACAAGGATACTCTGAAGTCCTCCCTGAAGCGCCTGCAAATCAACCCGACCAACTGGGAAGAGCTCGCTCGCGATCGTCCGACATGGAGGAGAACAGTGAAGACGGGCGCTGCTATCTACGAAGCCAACCGCATCGCCGCCAAAGTGAAACGCGAAGGCCGCAAATCACAATCTCGCCCAGTACGCAACGCCGCCGCACAACCGCTCCCTACGTGTCCTCGATGTCAACGGACATTCCGGGCACGAATCGGACTTGTTAGACATCTCCGAACCAACTGTGCCTCTCGAACTGCCCCAGCCATCGTCCCCCCGCCCGCCTCTTCCTCGTCCTCTCTGCCGCCAACTAACTCTGACACTCCTTCTGCATCACCACTTCCATCCTCCTCCTTCTCCTCCACTGCCCCAGCGGCGGCCGTTCAGACTGCCGTCTCACACATCACCAACCCCGGCACAATAAACACCACCACCCCCACCTCTCCCGATTCCAGTGATGAGGATCAGGACTACACCTGCCCTCACTGCGACCGCACCTTCACCTCTCGCATCATCCTGGTCGGTCACTTGCGAATCCATCGCACAGAGACTGGTGAACCAGTGCCTGGAGCACCAACCTACACCCACCGCATTCGCCTCCACTGCCCACAATGCCCTCGCACCTTCACTCACCGCATGGGCCTGTTCGGCCACATGCGCATCCACGAGAGCGGAATTGACCGCAGCCTTGACACACCCACCCCGCCGAGCCCCACTCCCAATCCATCACCTTGTGCACCCACTAACCACTCCCCAGCCGACATCGACGCCACCGACCTTACCACCCCTCACTCCTCCCCTTCCTCCTCCTCTTCCTCCCTCACTGCCACAACGACGGCCGCTTCGGCGTCTGTCGCCCACGGCTTCACCACAGCCGAACCTGACACAACAACAGGCACAACCCCTGCAACCTCCATCATCAGACGTGAGGGCCAGGACTACATCTGCCCTCACTGCAATCGCACCTTCACTTCACGCATCGGCCTGGTCAGTCACTTGCGAATCCATCGCACAGAGACCGGCGAACCAGTGCCTGGAGCACCAACCTACACCCACCGCACTCGCCTCCACTGCCCACACTGCCCTTGCACCTTCACGCATCGCATGGGTCTATTCGGCCACATGCGCATCCACGACGACCTGTGGTAGACAACCGCCGGTCACACCACACATTCCCTCACTCCCTACCTCCTAGCACCATCACACCATCAGACATCAACCCTCACACACCTCATGCACTCAACTGCCGCCTCCCACGCAAGTGGGAAGTGTGCATCTCGAGTCGGTCCCCATGCGGCTTCGGCTGCACGGGCGACTTGTGTCCGAGACTATCCCGACACGTCAAGCGTCGTGGATAGGAAGGTTGCTGATTGAGGCCCGCTCTCGGGTCACGCAGTTCGTCACGTTGTGTGTGTTGTGTGGAGTGGCGGACTGGTGGGCTGGGGACGGGCTGCAACAGCACCTTCCACGGCACTCTCACGCAAGCGAGAGACACGCCGTTCAACCCCCGTTATGTGGAATCCTGGTGTTTGTGTGCATGGGGGGTCAGGTTGTGCTGTGGCGCGCGCAGTCATGGTCTGTCGACCATGACAGCCACCGCGCCCATTCCCCACTCCAGTCTGCTGACCGGCTCGGACAGCGGCTGGGGTGTGGGAGTGGGAAGGGAGAGTGAGGTCGACGACTCAGCGCACTTTCCTCACTATAAACAATCTGACGCGCTTGAAGCTATCACGGTGCGCTAAAAGCCGTGGCTTGAAAGGTTGCCAATTGACGGGGTACCTTGGACCTCCTCCTTAACGGGAGGCGGTCTGAGAGTCAGGCTGCAATGGCTCCTTTTTAATGTGGCCTTTATGGCACTCCTACCACAGTGTGGGATTCGAGCCAGGCGTTGGCGGCACGCCCAGATGCGGCTTCGGCCGTGCCAGCCTCCAAATCTCTGCTGTGTTGGTTGAAATCCTGGTTATTTGTGTGCGGACCATGGGGTGTGGTGGAACGCCAAGGTGAGGATCCGTCCGAGCCATCCACCTGCGGCCTCCCCCGTCTCCGGTCTTCTTGACTCTGTCTTGACACCGGGTCCAGGCGGGGAGGAGGAGAGAGTGTACGTAGATGCAGCGCAAGTCTACCGGCACTATAAACCCCTGCGCAAGTCACCGTCCCTGCTCCCACCGCTGCTGCAGCTCTGGGGCACACGGTGGACGTCGTCGAATTCGACGGTCGAACTGTCATGTATGTATGTATGTATGTTTGTATGTATGTATGTATATTGAAGGGTTACAGGCAGAGCCCTTGATGACTCTATTTGTGTACAGTGCTTTCGCAGATTCATACTCAAAAATAAAATTAAATTGCAGACATTTAAAATGTGATTGGGTCACAGTTCAATCGTAATCATAATGTAGTGCATGGGGTCAGTGTAAATTAGTGCGGAAGATTGTATTTGACAGATTTTACAAAACTGGCTGTGCATAGTCATGCTGTACAAGCCGATTTCTGTCGAAAACTAGACGAGCAAGTTTTCTTTTAAACACAAACTGTATCAGCCGTCACCATCTCGCTTGGAAGCGAGTTCCACGGCCTGACAACCCGCTGGCTGAATGAAAATTTTCGTCGGTCTAAACGCGTGCGCTCATACCCGACTTTGTATAAGTAAGTTAAGTTTCTGTGAAAGCCATAATTTCAGGCTTAATTTCATCAACTAAGTCTCATAGTTCATCTAGTTCGTTGAAGAGGCTTTGCACATTTGCGGATATAACCTTCAATGACTGATTCGTTGGAGAGGCCCGGCCTTCATTGTGACGGGTTCTGACCACAGGAAAGACCCCTTTGCCTGGACTATTTGTCCATTTTTGATCTTCAGCCCCTTCGCTCCTCTGCCAATTCTCTCCTTCAATTCTGATCTCAGTTCTCTCATTTTCAGTCTTTCCCTCGGTTCGTTGACTGGTTGAAAAACACTTCCTTGTGCGAATTGCGTAAAGTCGTTCTACTTTCTAACAAAAGCGCTGCTTGGGCTTCGTTTTCCAAAATAACTTTCAGGTGTCTTGGGGATGTTTTTAGGTCACGATTTGGGTCCGCTCTGCCTAGTCGGAAAGCTTTTTTAACGGTGAATATTTCCCCATCCTGCAGGACGGCACTGGCGTACTGAGGAAGAAGGTCTAGGTCGTGCGTCACTCGTTCCTTCGGAATGCAGGACGTGGACTCTGGGGCGCCCCTTATGACAATATTTTGCTTACGATTTATGGAAGAGCTCTTTACTGTCCCGTCCGCGCTAGGACGATATAATGCTACTGTAGTATTCCCGACGGCTGTTGTCACTTCGACATTTGAATGATTTTCGGCCGGCGAAGGGGGTATAGGGCATGGATTTTCATGTGACGTACTTGCTCCGGCTGTGGAGCTCTTACAATAATTACCCTGTTGCAATGTACTGCACGAAGGCTTATCGTGTCCTTTTCCATAAACGGAATGGTTAGGGCACTTTCCAGATGAGTTAGCTTTGTGAAGAAATGGAGTAACAGCATTGCCTTCCAAGAATAACAGCGAGTCCTTGTAGTTTCTAACAGATCTTCTGAGGGTCACCCTGGCTTTCCCAACTTTAGTGTTCGATGATTTGGCAGGTTTAGTTACTATAGCAGGTAATGGAACCTGACTTATTTTTAATGCATTAGTGTCAATCGCCACGTTATCCACCGGAACTGGTTTGTCTGGAATTTCCTCTGGAGACATAACTCGCTTCCTCTTCCTGACTGGCTGTGACTTCTCCGCGCGTGTGCCTTTATTAGTAGGCTGTTCGTCGCTTATCGATAGGAAATTTGACGGATTATTTGGTAATTCTATTTTACTGTGCGTAAGAATAGCCATGATGATGTCCGTCAGAAGGCCTTGCTTCTCTTCTAGCGTCTGGACCCGCTTTTCAAGTTCCTTACAGCCGACACAGCGACCGACAAGCGCAGAATCCGTCCCGTCTGTCACACAGTTTTAGCGGCCTCTTGGCAGTGCATCTGTTCTTATTTCCTGCCTTATCTCTTGGAGCCTATTGTGCTTAATCCCCCTGGAGTCTAATGATTCCAGCGGCATTTTATCGCAAGAGACTGCTAATGAATTAAAGACCGTTTTCAGCTGCTCTTCTATAGTTGATAAACATATCTGACTAGCGCCAAACCGTTCATCGATAGTGCAGTGGCTAACGCTCTGGCCTCCAGATCCGCAGGTACCGAGTTCAAATCCCGGTTGCACAACCTTTGTGGACGAGTTTTTTTTATAACAAATTGGCTCATTGTT